CGGGTCGGTGTGCGCTGGGTCCCCACCGTCCGTCCGCACCAGCCGCTGGGCGAGCCGCAGCCTCCTGGCCTTGAAACGGGACAGGCCATTACCTGCCCCCGAGTCCTGTGAAGTCCAGTGGTCGCACGTGTTGTTTAGCGTCGGGCCTGGGGACAGGGAGAGCCTGCGGACACTGGGTGAGGGACAGCTAGAGTTCGGGCTTTTTCCTTGTTAAAGAAGTCTCAGGTAGTGGAGGTCATTTCGAGCTTAAAAGCAACGAAAGGGCAGACATTAGGTGCATGTGTGTGAAAAGCAAGATTAAGTTATACCAGAGAAAAATTATTTTCAGTACATGGTAAGCAAAGGACCTTTATATATATATATAGATAGATAGATATCTATATATCTATATATATACACACACACATACACATACATATATATGTGTATATATACACACACGTATGATATATAACATGATATATAATATCATATTACTAATAATCAGTGAAGAAAACACCCGCATTCCCATAGGAAAATGGGCAAAGGTCATTTAAGTTCACAGCAGAAGTCAAGAGGCGTGTCCGTGCTCAGAACTTCCTGTTGGACCCTAGGCAGGGTCCTTCCTGGGAGGCGGGAAGGATAATGCCCCGCTGGGCAGGCAGCTGTAAGCACATGGCTCGGCCGCCCCTGGTCAGCCCAGCCCTCAGCGTGGCGGTTACTGTTGTCAGGGCTCAGTCTTCCCACTTAAGCTGAGAGGCTGACCGCAGGGTCTGTAAGGCCTGCTGGTGCCCACCTTCCAGGATTCTCCCCCTCTGAGGGGGCGGCTGAAGGGGCTCTGACTGTTAAGGTCACGGGAGGGGGGGTATCTGAGCATGGTGTGGGGTGGGCTGGTGCAGAGGACCATGAGGAAGTGTTGGGCACACAGCAGGTACCTCCTCCAGCCCTGATGGTCAATGGTTTCTTCAAAGGAGGTGACATCTGGATCAAGATCGGAAGGAGGATCAGAGTTAGCTGGGTGGGGTGGGGGTGGAAATCTCAGTGAGGGAGGGGATAGCCTGGAAGAGACCTGGGCTGAGAGGATATGAAGCGTTGGAGATGCGGATGTCTGGAAATGAGGGAGAAAAGGGAGCGAGACATGAGAATGGAGATATTAGCAGGGGCCATATCACGAGGGTCATACAAGCCAGAGGTATAGCGGCTACTTCTGAAGGCAGTGGAGAACCTCAGAGGAGCTAGCCACACTGAGCGTGGTGATCACTAACTCATTTAGTCTTCACAGTTACTCTGTGAGGTAGAAACTTCGTGCAGACCAAAGAAGCGGCACGGTCTGAATTGGAAGCCAGGTCTTTGAATCCACAGCCTGGGTCCTGAACCACTGTAGCAACATTTCCTGACCTTCAGTCAGCTGTATAAACACCCTCTGTTTGTTTGTTTTTTAAAGACATATATTTGTTGGTTTCAGAGGAAGGGAGAGGGGGAGAGAGAGAAACATCAATGATGAGAGAATCATTAATCAGCTGCCTCCTGCTGGGGATTGAGCCTGCAACCCAGGTCTGTGCCCTTGATCAGAATCGAACCCAGGACCCTTCAGTCCGCAGGCGGGCGCTCTATCCACTGAATCAAACCGGCTGGGCACACCCTTTGGTTTTTCCATGTCCTCTGTGGCACCTGTGTTTTTAAGTCTATCTCATCTTGAACAATAATATCCATGAAATGGTATGTGGGATATACTGACCAACAAGAAGTGGTTCTAGACTAGAGTAAGGCTAGAGAAGTAGGCAGGGTCTTGATCAGGGAGGTCTGGACTTTATTGGCAAGGTATAGAAATGTTTTAAATGGAAACATACCAAGAACATACAACTGTTGCTTCAAGGGCAGGGCAGAGTAGGTGCTAGCTAAGGAGTCAGGCTGGGTGGTGGTTCTTAACAGAGCGATCCTGTTTTCAAGGATTGTCAGAGTCCCTTTTTCCTTCACCCACGTGCTGCTGAAACTGAGTCCCCCTCAACAGGTTTGCATGGTAATGTTTCCCCAAGAGATGCAGATGATATTCTGCCCCCTTGGAATTTCGGGTCTAAAACAGTTATCTCAAAGTAAAGTTTACAGTCGTCCACTGTCCTGATTCGTACCACATTGTCAGTCCTTGTTCGTCATCTCCCAAGAATGGATTGTGAAATGCAGCAAAGTTTTCTGACTTAAGAGGTTAAGTGTGAGCTCTGGCTTTGCAACCCCAGACTCTTGCCAGAGTAGGTAAATAGCACAGAATCGACAAGGGTAAGTTTTTTCAAAAACAGTAGCCAAAGCACAGTTTATGCACACACTAAGAAGTAGTTGATGTGTAAAACTTTCCAGTATTACAGAAGAGTAATTCTACCCTTACATTAATTTCTCCCTCACCTGTTCAGCTGTAGTTTAAACGTGAGTGGTCATACTGATCACTTCAGGAGCTTTAATTGCAGATTCCTAGGCTCTCCCTGGAGATTCTGATTTGCAAAATTTGTAGTGAAAGCTTGGGGTCACTGTTTTT